TAATAATAACATTCTGAGTTAGATATCTAGGTGATACTAATGAAATCTGGTTAAAAAAGGGGTAATACTATTCTGATCATTAATATAAGAGTTAATTAACTAATTTTAGTAGATTAAAGAAATTAGTCAAGTTAGTTATTTTATATAAATAGATTTTTTTTAATTAAAATATCCTTACTAATCATTACATTAATTAGAATTATTATTATTGTAAGGACCATTTTAAAAAAAAAGATAAATAGGAGAGATAAAGTAGATTAAAGTTTTATATTTGGGCCAAAACAAAAATTAAACTAGGACCATTTTGAAAACTTCCAATTGAATATTACCGGAATCCGCCTTATAACTGTTACACGTGTGTTTGAAGTTGTTCTACTCTTCTGCCGTTCAATCTCTCATTCCTTTTAGGATGTAATCTTTTTATCTTGCTTTAAACAAAATTTGTCTTTTAATTAAAAAAAATATTTATAGGGCGAAAGAGTATATTTTTTCTTTACAATTTATTATTGTTTAGTGGACCGTTATTTCATTAGAAACTATATATACATTTTAAATAAGGACACAGTTAAAAAACTGTTAATAATTTTTTAACAAAAAGTTGTTAAATTTAAAAATAGAATTAATGATATTTAATATTTTTCTTATTTGTTTAAAAAATATTTAATAAATACGATCAAAAAGTGTGGAAGTGTTGTGCGGATTTAGTAGCCTAAGTCTGCCGCATCTTGTATAAGATGTTAGTTTCACTTTCATTAGCCCTGTTGGCTATGCTTCTATGTTGTGCAACATGCAGCTTCACTTGTATCAATCTTAGTTCACCAATTATTCTCTTCACTGATTCTTTCAGTCCCCCAACCTTCTAAAGTTTGTACCTACAATTTCATTGCCTACAAGAGCCTGTGACAACGGATTGATCAAACATTCTTATTACAAAATGTAAGATTTATATACCAATAACAGACGAGATTTTCCAAGCATGAGGTTCTTGCCATCACATTTAAAATTATTTATAAGCACATTTTACATAAACCAAGACAAAACTCCTCTCACATAGTTACCTCATATTCCGTAAATTATGATTGAAAAACTGTTTATAGACTATTTCAAATGGGCCATGAGAGATCCAAACGTGCTCTTAGAATATTGAGCCCATTTTAGCTTCGTAATCTTTTTCCAAAAGAGTTGGGTGGAATAAAAGGAAGGGAAAATGAATTTGAAGGTTATTATGATTTGTTTTGATTTTGAATCAGGTCCTTCTATTTTTTTTACTTTTTGTTAGACCTTGAACTTTCTGTGGCTAAATCTGTTACTCCCCAAGGGTTGAATCTGTTAAATGAGCATTAACATTGTTAATAGTTTCCGTTAGCGACCTCTGAAACAACACCTTCTCTCTCCCTCCACCATAACCACAGGTTCGTACAACCTCTACTCTCTCCTTGGCTCATTCCGAACACCATCTCTTTCCCCTCCATCCACTCAACCAGTAAATGACGTATCGTTCCTTCCCTGCTCTCCATAACACCTTTCCTTCCCTTGCTCACAAAGTCACTGGAAGCCTTTTCAGCGATCCCTGCAGTCGCGTTTCCTTTGCCATCCCTCTCGACTCCTGTTAGATAATCACGTAACAGAACAACATGAAAGAAGAAAAAAATGGTAGTCTAGAAACTTGGGGGAGCTTAGAGAACGATGAAATGAAGAGGTGCCTTTGAACTCTATATGTAAGACATATAAAGCAGCATGGAATATAATTTTAACTCAATATATATCATCTTTACTTGTAAAATTATATATATATTATATTACTTTATATACAAATACAGGAAAAAGAACGTAAGTGTTAGTAGGAGCATGTGTTATATATAGGATGGTCACACTGAGGAAGAAATTGGAATAATATATGCAGAGGGTGTATGAATGAAGAATTAAAAAAAAGTAAAGGTTGGGCTCCCCCGTTTTAGTATTAAAAAACAGAGGCACTTATCAAATCTTATTAAAATGCTATTTGTACCGTATGGAATATTGTTACAAACTAGTTTTAGCCACCTCATATTATTCATTATCATTCTTTATTTTCAGAAGCATCCCAACAACCATTAATGCCTGCGTCATGGTGACACCGTCATCACCATCCACTGCAGCGGCGTTTCTTTCCTTTCAACCGGCCAAGAAGTATGTCAGAATTCTTTCCCCACAATTTTACTTTTTAGAGTGTTTCATTAAGGTTGAATAGCTTCGTATGAGAAGATCATCTAGTGTAGCTTCTTTGAGCTGTGATACTGTCTTCTTCTCCAGTGCATCTCCTCCTGCTTTGGAAACATCCAATATGTTTTTTGATTGCAATGATCCAAACATATACCTTGTTGTTGTAGAGAACCCAGAGCCCATCTCCAGGGGCACATTGGAGAGTATAAACTCTAGCAGCTCTTTCTGTTCAGCCTCTAAAACGATAGATGCGGATGACAGTGACGACTACATCAGCGACTTTCAACTTGACCTTAAAGCACCTGGAATGTATTTCTTTTCAACTTTCTATGATCTGGAGTGGCACGAACCAAGGAGAAAGGAGGGCTTGCTTGGATATGGCGTTGTGGCGGAGGGAGGAGACGTTTCAGTCATTGCTAACGGAAATCATTGACGGTATTAATGTTAATTTGAGAGCAGGGACTAACGGAGCTAACAGCATAAACTTAAAGGATCTAATAAAAATAAAAAAAGCATAAGGACCTGATTCAAAATAAAAGAAAACTGTAAGGACCTGCAAATTAATTTTCCCTAAAAGGAAAAGGCTCTTCTTTTTGTATAATAAAAGCCCATTTGGAAATCTATTTTTTAGACACATACACATAGGCCCACTATTGGACCTTTCATCATCGTTTGCCTTTGCTGGGCCAATCAAACCCAGGTTTTTGAGCCCAATAGCCCATGAGAAATGTGCTTTCCGGCCAGACCAACGAGAAATCCGTTGATTTGATTTTACCCATCTCTCGAAAAAAGACCAATCTCTCATAATATAGTAGATTAAGTTTTGAATTTTCACTAAAAAAAAAGCTTCTGTATTTAGTACCACAATGTTTGGAATAGAAGTGTGTAATTTGATTTTTAAGGATTATGTCATTTTTATGATAACTGTTATTTTTTGCCAGCCATGATAATTTATGTTTCAATCGTTTTATTAGTGACTAATAATTTATAAATACTTTTCTAAATATTCCTTCGGTCCTAATTATAAAATGAATTTTATATTTATGCTATGTTTGGTACGGGGTTTTCGGAGGGGAGGGGAGGGAAGTTGCTCCCCTCCCCTTGTTTGGCTGGTATAATTTTTTAGGAGGAGAGGGGAGGAGCTCCCCTCCCCTCGTTTGGTTAAGATGTTTTTTAAAGAGGGGAGGGGTTATTCTCCCCTCCCCTTCCCTTCTAGCCTCCCCTCCAAAAGTGGGGTTTTTTGGAGGGGAGGTGAGAGATGATATTTTAATTCCTTATATGTCCTTTCGATTTGTTAACCTCTAATCAATCATAAACATTTCTACATAATAGAGTTCTTTTGAGCATCTAATAAGAGGTTATTAAGATAATTATCTCCAAAATTAGTGAGCATTTGTAAATCAATCACTTGTGACTTTTTCTTTCACCTTTAAGGTCTTTTCTCTGATTGAAATCTATCACTTGTGACTTTTTGTTTTGATATTCTATAAGTGTGTGACTGTATCTTGTAAATCAAAATTAGTGAATTGTATTATATATATATATAGTTATATCTTAACAAAATAAAAAGTGAGAAAATTCATTTAAATTTTATGAGGCTAAAATAGTCAATTTTTTTTAGAACAAAATAAGGTATTATTAAAATTGCTCCCTCCCCTCCCCTCCAATCAATCCAAACAGGAGATCATTAAAATCCCTCCCTCCCCTCCCCCTCCCTCCCCTCCCCTCCCCTTTGTAGCTACCCTCCCCTTTCCTCCCCTCCCCTTCCCTTGATTAAAATCCCTCCCCTCCCCTTCCCTCCGTCGAGCCAAACATAGCGTTAAGGTCTTTTCTCTGATTGAAATCTATCACTTGTGACTTTTTTTTTGATATTCTATAGTGTGTGACTGTATCTTGTAAATCAAAATTAGTGAATTGTATTATATATATATATAGTTATATCTTAACAAAATAAAAAGTGAGAAATTCATTTAAATTTTATGAGGCTAAAATAGTCAATTTTTTTTAGAACAAAATAATGTATTATTAAAATTGCTCCCTCCCCTCCCCTCCAATCAATCCAAACAGGAGATCATTAAAATCCCTCCCTCCCCTCCCCCTCCCTCCCCTCCCCTTTGTAGCTACCCTCCCTTTCCTCCCCTCCCCTTCCCTTGATTAAAATCCCTCCCCTCCCCTTCCCTCCGTCGAGCCAAACATAGCGTTAAGGTCTTTTCTCTGATTGAAATCTATCACTTGTGACTTTTTGTTTTGATATTCTATAAGTGTGTGACTGTATCTTGTAAATCAAAATTAGTGAATTGTATTATATATATATAGTTATATCTTAACAAAATAAAAAGTGAGAAAATTCATTTAAATTTTATGAGGCTAAAATAGTCAATTTTTTTTAGAACAAAATAAGGTATTATTAAAATTGCTCCCTCCCCTCCCCTCCAATCAATCCAAACAGGAGATCATTAAAATCCCTCCCTCCCCTCCCCCTCCCTCCCCTCCCCTTTGTAGCTACCCTCCCTTTCCTCCCCTCCCCTTCCTTTCGTCGAGCCAAACATAGCGTTAGAGTCAGAAGAGTAATTTCTTAAGTTGCAAGGTTTGTTAATTCTCATAAGCTGACGCCGAGCATCAAAACTCCGAGACTATTACAATTACAAGTAAACTAAACCAAGCTTAATAATTAAGCGGGTGTTTGGATAGTGTTTTTAAAAAATATTTTCACTAGATAAAATTCCTTTCACTTTAAAACACTCCCTAAAACAGTGAAAATTGCCTCGACGCTCAAAACGACGACGGCAATCGCGCTGACACTTCGTTCCCAGTGGCCTGAGAGAAGGAGAAGCCTTGAACGACAAGGACACTACGGTCTCCGGGAGCCAAAACCTCCGTCATTGTCTCTCTCCACCTCCACCTGCTGCTTTCCAATCACAAGCACCGCCTTCTTCAATCGCCACCAATACTCTCTTCAACAAAGTTCATTTTGTAGTCTCCACCATCCATATACATTTATTCTCACTGCTTTCGTAGCTCAATCAATCTTGGAGCTCAGGTGGCAATCAAATCTGAGGGAGAGATAAGCTTCATTTAGTAATGGCGCTTTCAGCTTCCGACCTTCCGGCCATGTACTCGTTGCTTACCAATTCTATGAGCAGCGATCACTCAATCCGCAAACCTGCCGAAGACGCGCTCTCTCAATCGGAGAGTAGGCCTGGTTTCTGTTCTTGTCTCATGGTACCGTTCCTCGATTTATATATTGCTAGGGTTTTTTGTGTTGTTTTTTTTCCCCCCTCCCAATTCGCACTCATGGTTTTGCTTGACCGTATGTATGTTTTTAAGTGTTTGGAATCTGAGTTTGTAGCATCTTGTGAACGGAACTGTAGGAAGTTATTACCGCAAAGGATTTAGCATCTCAAGTGGATGTGCGGTTGATGGCTTCGGTGTATTTTAAAAATAGTATTAATCGCTACTGGAGGCACCGGCGTGATTCCTCGTAAGCTCTTTTTTTTATTTTTTATTTGATAGCTATTGCTTTTAGTTTAAGCTATGTTTTCTTACTCTATGAGCGTGAGCGAAGCGAGGCAAGATAAGTGAAGTGCATGTTTTGGTTGTTAAGCCGTGGATAGTAACGTGGCATTTTCCATTCAGGGGGATCACCAACGAGGAGAAAATACATCTCAGGCAAAAGTTATTGCTGCACTTGAGGGAAGAGAATGATCAGGTGCTTCCTAAACATTCTGTTGCTCTTTTTTAATATTGCTTTTCCCTTCGATGGTGAGACTGTGAATAACTGAACATGCATAGATATTCGGAAAGGGGGAGTGTTTGGGGACAGTTTTATCTCTCATGATTTTCAGGCTATGGGCCCTGCGTGTAAATATTTTAGCGTTTGACCCCATCACTACCTGAATGGTAAGTTCACTAGTTACAGTCCTAAAAATCGTCTCACTCAATGATAAATTAATTCATACCCCCTTTATTTAATAAAGCAGTGTTATTTTGAATTAGTGTTCCTTTGGTTACTATAACATGATTAGTCTTACCAAGGTGTGATTTTAGATGCATTTTATTATGTCATAGTTGATGTCAGATTGAAGCTTATAGTCTCCCTGAATCCCGTTTGTAGCCTTCTTGGGTTTGATAGAAAAATAATTTTGCATGGTATGATTATTGGTCAGTAATCTGCATGCATTGAGCTTCGGATATTTATTTCTTCTACTCCTTTCATTTTCTAACTGCAGATAGCTCAGATGTTGGCTGTGCTCATATCCAAAATTGCTCGGATTGATTATCCCAAAGAATGGTACATTCAGAATTTGTTAGATTTTTGAATTCCAGGATTGTTAACTGAGTCTATAATACTATCATTACAATTTTATTTTTTGTTTTTAAATGACAATTTAAGAATTTAAAATAACTAAATACACGGCTACGACAAATCTCACCTCTATGTCCAAGATTATGTGTACATGTGAGATGGTTCTTCTAACTTCTATTAACCATTAATCATCTAGAATAAAAATTACATTTTTTAAGGTTCATTTGAGGAGTGAAATATAGGAACTCCTGAGTGAATAATCTCTTCACCTAGTGGAATATGGCTGTTGTAATTTGGAACCTCTAGGCAGTTATGAACTTAAGAATGGATTTTTGGAGTTGTTACGGCTAAGAAGGAAGGAATCCCTAATCTGCATCCTCCAAGGCTAAAGTAAGAAGCTTAAAATGAAAATAGTGGCAGGTTCTCATATTGGTATGCATTAACGAGTATGAGGGTTTCTCAAGGTTATCCTCAATTGAGACGATGGACTGGAATGTTTTGAAGCTTAATAAGGAATAAGGAAGTAAAGATTAAAAACTGAAGACAATAAAATTATTCCAGTAGTTGGCTCAAAGGTTGAGTTATGCTGAAAATTTCACACACTACTCTGTGAGCTCGATTTGAATGCTTTACTTATGAAGCAAGCCATACATATTGATATGCTGATTTCATGACTTATCAGGCCAGACATCTTTTCTGTTTTAGCGCATCAGCTTCAATCTGCAGATGTTCTTGCATCCCACCGAATCTTCATGATATTATTTAGGACATTAAAGGAATTGTCCACCAAGCGCCTAACTTCAGACCAAAGAAACTTTGCGGAGGTACGGTTCATTTTTTAAAAATTTTTTGTTTATATTTTCTTCTTCCGTTTCTCTCTCTAACTTCATGCTGTATATGTTGTCTAACTTTATCTCTATCCCGCACATTGCAAACCAGGTAATTCGGTATTTTATTTGTATCAAACTTCTTTTTCTCTTTCATGATGGAATTCAGGTAGATATATGCAATTTTGGTATGGCAACCTTTTCTATTGATAGGAGTCATAATTTCCTTAGCCAGTCTTATTTCTCTTGGTAGCAAAATGGTTCTTTGTGCTCTTTGTTTCTATTATAGGGATTTATGTACTGGAGTGTAACCCACTTCTTCCTATGTGTATCTATTGAATTTCAAGTATTGAATGGGATTGGGAAGTTTTATGCTGATCACGAGAGAATAACATTCAACCTATCATACTCTGAATAAAATTTAGGCAAGAAAATGAGAAAAAAAAAAGGCATAAAAGAGCCCCTCTTCCCAAAGTATGGTATTGAATAAAGTTTATACTGATGCCATGTTGCAATTTTTTGTAACTCTGGTGGCCCAAGAGGTTTTTTTTGCCCCCCCCCCCCTTTCGCTGAGAGGGGAATGTATTAATAATAAAAAAAACTGTACAAGAGTTATCACCCGGGGGGGGGGGGAAACTGTACAAGAGTCACGTAGGGTGGAGGATTATGTGTGCATGTAAAAGCAAAAACGACTTATGGGCAGTTTGCTCTTTCTTATGAACCTTATATTATGTCGCAGCTAGTCTCTGATGAACTCTTGAACATATTGGATTCTTTGAATCTTTGTTCACTTGTTTTTGTATTGTTTCATTCTGCAACAAAATGCTTTCTGATGGTCCAAACACGGATTTCCTAAGATTACTGTTTAGTACCTTGTCACTTCTCAGAACAATAAAATATGACTGATCTCCTTTGTCAGATATCATCCCATTTCTTTGATTATTGCTGGCGCCTTTGGCAAAGTGATGTGCAAACTATATTACATGGCTTCTCCACTCTTTCTCAAAGCTATAATTCAAATTCTGGGGAGCAGCATCATGATGAACTTTACCTTACTTGTGAGAGATGGTTGTTATGTTCAAAGATAATACGCCAATTAATAATTTCAGGATTTCAAAGTGATTCAAAGTGTTTTCAGGTACCATCTATTTTTCTTATGTCTATTCCCTACATGGTTTACTGTTTCTCGTAGTTTGGCATATTTTTCTTTTTTACTTTCCTTTATTGTACTTGACGCCTAATATTTCTGTTTTGTAGGAGGTTCGACCAGTCAAGGAAGTTTCTCCTGTGCTCTTAAGCGCCATTCAATCGTTCCTTCCATATTGTGAGACCTCCGTTTCTTTTGCACGTGTCACTGCTTTGTGTTTATGTTTTCATGAACAAAATACCCAAGTCTATTGTAAGAAAACGTTGATGAACATAAACTGATGAAAATTCCTTTAGACGGTTAAACCACATTAATATCTTGCATCTCAAGCTCCAGTTATTGTGGAATCGTCATTTCTAATTGACGTTTTCATACTTGTGATATAATATTGTAGATTAATTTTCATGACTGGTACATTTTTGGGATTGACAATTAGCACTGCAGGGAAAGCAGAGAAATGTGAACATGGTTTCTAAATCATTAAAATGATGTTTTCTAGAGGACAATGAACATTTTACAGTGTACTGTCATCACTCTCCTTGTCCCTCTCTCCCTCCCCCTCTTTCTTGGTTCTGAAAACTTTTAGTATCCTGCATGTGTCATGATGTTTATGCACATCTGAACCTTTAGTCTGTAGTTCCGTGACCAGGAATGCAGCAAATTGGCTCCCTCTCCCGTGATTTTTAATTTTTAATTTTTTTAATGAAAGGAAAAGTTAACTTGTCCTTACTTTCTGCGTTTTTGTTTTTGAAAAGTATGACTTCTTCCCTCATACTCATTGGATCTTTCTCTTGTTTGCAGATTCATCTTTTCAAAAGGAATTTCCAAAATTTTGGGAATTTACAAAAAGGGCTTGTACCAAATTGATGAAAATCTTGGTTGCCTTTCAGGGCAGACACCCTTACTCATTTGGCGATAAACTTGTGCTTTCATCTGTTGTAGATTTCAGTTTAAATAAGATAACAGATCCTGAGCCATATCTATTGTCATTTGAACAATTTCTTATTCAGTGTATGGTGATGGTGAAAAATATGCTGGAATGTAAAGAATACAAGCCAACTCTTACTGGTCGGGTTATGGATGAAAATGGAATTACCCTAGAGCAGATGAAGAAAAAAATTTCCGGTATGGTTGGTGGTGTTTTGAGGACCCTTCTACCCAATGAGAGGATTGTCCTCCTTTGTAATGTGTTGATAAGAAGGTAGCATTCACTTCTTTGCTCCTTCTTGGGTTTAATTTACTGTGGTGGCCTGATTTTCTTACTGACTGAGGTGTGAAGTTGTGGCATACGTGACCTAATAATGCATGGTAGTTCATTGCAACTAGAACCAACGGAAATAATTCAGTTTTAATCTGGGAAAGATCGGCTCTCTTTTCAACTAAGATTTTAGAGTTTCATGTCTGCTAGAGTGTGTATTAATTGTTCTATGATGGAGCTGGACATATCTGGGAAGTCATTTGTGTCTTCCAGGACTGTGTATATGAACAGTTACTCGTTTATGTAAGGGTTGATTCTAATTCTGCTCATGATGAGATTAGGATAAATAAGGGCACTGAAGGCACAGGACTGAAACAATCAGTATTGAGACAATGTTATAAACACTGTTACTTTCCTGCCTAAATATTTGATAGAAATTAATATATTTGAAAGTGTAATGAAATTGTACGCCTTGTCTTGTGATGAAAGTGATGTTGCCAATTTAAATTGCCAAACAGAAGTCCCAAAAAAGAGTTATGAGAGAAGTTCATAGTAGGAAGGTTCAGGGACTCTGCAGTCTGTTAATTGTACATTGTTTGTAAACTTGTTGATTGCCAAGATATAGTTTTGAAAAGGGAAATTTGCTTCGGTGATTTTTTGCCTCTTATACTGCTTGATTCTGGACTAAACAGTGCTTTTGTAATCCAACAGGTATTTTGTTCTAACAGCAAGTGATTTGGAGGAATGGTATCATAATCCTGAGTCTTTTCATCACGAGCAGGATATGGTTCAGTGGACAGAAAAATTGAGGCCATGTGCTGAAGCATTGTACATCGTGTTATTTGAAAATAATAGCCAAGTAGGTGGCATTCAACATGGCAGGTTATCTTGTGTTATCTCAATTGTTCTGATGCTTCAATGTGACTAGATTATTAATGCGTGTATGTGTGAATGTGAATGTTACTTTAGCTGCTAGGTCCTGTTGTAGTTTCTCTTCTCCAAGAGGCTATGAATAGTTGCCCAACTTCAGTGACAGAGATCACTCCAGGGTTGCTTCTGAAAGATGCTGCTTATGGTGCTGCCGCTTATGTTTATTATGAGCTTTCAAACTACCTGAGCTTCAAGGACTGGTACTTCTGATGTTGCTATGCCCTTGTTTTCAGTTAGTTTATAATTTGGAAGGCGGCAATATTATATTAACTTAGACCAATTCACGCAAAAAAATGGCAATGCCTCCTGAACAAAAACAGGGCACTGTTTAAAATCGGGGTTCTCAAATTCCTAAAAACTGTTTAAATGGCGTTTTTCCAGCATGTCATTCTTCACTATGCAATCTATGGTTTATTGGTTTGAATATCTACTTAATGAGAGTGCTGTCGGTGTTCTCAAACAAATTTCACACATCAATATGCAGGAAAAAGAAGCTTGCTCGGGAACTTTATTATTCAATTTCCTGATATATGTAATAATACTCTGTTAATTGTAACGTTTTATGTAAGAGATTTTTTTAGGTTCAGGAGCTTCTTTTATTGTTGGTTGTTAACTTTATGTTTGGATTTATTTCTGGTAAACACATAATTCAGCATCATAATTTATCGTGTTTGTGTTTATTATGCTTTCACTATCTGTAAATGTAATATTTGCAGGTTTAATGGTGCATTATCTCTTGAACTATCAAATGACCATCCAAACATGCGGATCATCCATCGTAAAGTTGCTCTAATTTTAGGACAGTGGGTTTCTGAGGTCAATCACATATTAAGTACTTGAATCGCATAGTGAATGAGCTTTTATTTTTTCGTGGATCAATTTTACAGCAGCTTTGATTAGATTCACTCTTTCATGTCTTACTGATAGATACTACCTCTGGTCCTTAATATAAGAGCTAGTTAATTGATTTGAGTAGATTAAGAAAATTTGTTATGTTATCTATTTGTAATAAATAAGTATTGTCTTACTTTGAATACCTTTGCTAATCATGTGTATTAGCTATAACTACCATTTGATGGAATATTTAACATTTGCAACTACTACAAGGCCTACTTTGAAAAAAATGAATAAATATGAGAGACAAAGTGGATTGGGGTCTTTTATTTAGCATCAAAGTGAAAGTCAAACTAGTAGTTATATTAAAGACCGGAGGTAGTATGTTTAAAACCTAAACGTGTTTCACAATTCTAACATAAATATTACATTTTCTACAACAGTGGAGTAACTGCTACAATGCCATATTATATATCCTGTTATCTTGTTAAATCTAACAATTATCAATGAGTTTAACCTGTTATGTGCCATACAATTGTGTGTATTTTGGTTTTAGACAAACTTTTTATACTTACTATATTGTGACTATTATATTCTTCCCAGATCAAAGATGATACGAAAAGACCCGTCTACTGTGCTCTAATCAGATTATTGCAGACCAAAGATTTATCTGTCAAAGTATGTTTGGCGTGTTGCATAGTTTTGTATTCCAATGAAAAATATTAATTAGCCTTGAGTTTTAGCATATTTGCATCTTATTGTTATGTTTTTTACTAATCACATGCATTATTTGTTTTAGCTTGCAGCATGTCGCTCCCTGTGCTTACATATAGAAGATGCAAACTTTTCGGAAAAGGAGTTTGTTGATCTACTTCCAATATGTTGGGACTCATGTTTCAAGTTATTTGATGCAGTTCAGGAATTTGACTCCAAGGTAAAATCTTCCTTTCTGCAAAGTAAAACATGTACTGGAAGGGCGATGGGAAGTCATCCTGGCTTTATGTTGTGCTTCTCTTCTGCTTCGTACAGCTGTAGTATGGCTTGAAAAATAAATAGATTCTCTTAACAGCTTTCTTTCAATTTTGATATCTTTTGCATGATTTTTTTTTTAAACTGTAAATGATGGAAGGCTTAGATGTGCATTTTTTCGGTGAAAAAGTCTATCTGCTTGATGCAACACCCCCCCCAAAAAAAAGAAGAAAGGTTTATTAAATGATTATGTTTTTAAACTGAGATATGTAAGGCTTCAATATGCATACATTTTGTAGTGAAAAAGCCATTCTGCTTGATGTAGTTTCCCCCTAATTTTATTGGTTATTTAGATTTAAGGGAAGGTCATTAACAACAGACTATTTGGTTTTAAATATCCTTTAATTTTTAAGTGGTCCATTGTACTTCTCATTATTGTTTTATTATTTTTCCAGGTTCAAGTTCTGAATTTGATCTCTACCCTCATTGGACATGTTGGTGAAGTTATTCCATTTGCAAACAATTTGGTGCAATTTTTTCAAAAGGTAACAAGTCAGTAATTAATCTTTACTTCTAATGAAACTTCTTTGGTTGCAAGATTTGCTGCTTTCCATCTTCATATATGTCCGGTCATGGAAGGGGTTAGATAGAAACGGTAACATATTGAAACTTTGAAACAACCAATATGGAACCAATCATTATTTGTTCGTGATAAGTTTAAACTTCTATCATGGATGATATGCATTATCTTTTAAAATATAATTCCTGGAGTTTTGTGTTCTTATTGGTGTGATAATATGTGGATTTGCTTACAACATTATCTTTTCTGAAGGTGGTAGATGGTAAGTCATTTATGATACAGCTAAGTTATTTGTTAAAAATATATGGCCAATTTGATATAACAATATGATTACAATAACTTACACTGGCAAAGATTGCTAAGAAGTACAAGAAAGTTCAGAGGTTATTTTAAAATGTATGCTTCATCTGATTCTGGGTATCGTGATAGCAACAACAAACTTTATGATAACTTGTTCTGTTACTTAGAGTCATTCAAAGGGGAGAGAATGTAATAGATTGAACTTTAGAAAAAGCATTATTCACATGTTTTTTAGCTCAATAAAATTTAGTTTTCCGGCTCATTAAAATTTAGTTTTCACACTGTTAATTTTCTAATGACTAATAAATGGAATTAGTTTAACCCAGTGCACTGTTGCGTTTGTTCTAACAAGGTGTGGGAGGAATCTTCTGGTGAAAGCTTACTGCAGATTCAGCTTCTTATTGCTCTGCGTAACTTTGTGGTTGCACTTGGTTACCAATCACCCATTTGCTATAACATATTACTCCCCATTCTCGACAATGGAATTGATATTAATAGCCCAGATGAACTCAATCTTCTGGAGGATTGCATGCTGGTAATCCTGCTCGCTCTTTATCATATTAAATACATACTATTTGGTGGGATTTTATTTGATGAAAGTATATCCTAATAATCTTTCAGTTATGGGAGGCCACACTTTCTCATGCTCCTTCAATGGTTCCTCAACTGTTGTCATATTTTTCACGCCTTGTAGACATCATGGAAAGAAGCTTTGACCATTTGCAGGTTAGGCTGGGCTCTGTCATTATATTGACCTTTATTGCTTTGTCAATGTTTGATGGAGAATTTAGTTTGAGCTGGTGCTACTGCCCCCTAGGTCGAGATGGTCATTTGAAAGCTTCATTTTGCATAATTGGACCGGGATGATGAGTGATAGAGTGTTCTTGTACTTAAACTCATATAATAATGTTCAAATTATGACATCTCAACTTCATTCTATTCATCCTCTTGCATACCTCCTCTTTTCTGTACATTACACTAATTTTGAGACCAGAGAGATACTGCACAGGAAATATATATTGTATAATTGAATCTCGCATTTGGCACTGGTCTGTGTGATTAAGGACGTTATCATGTGAAATATTTCTTTTTGAGTACTTATCAGAAAGTAAAAGAATTCATTGTTAGGTACCATCTATGGAAACTAATGCTGCTACCTTCCAGTTCCCTGAAATTTGACTGTTGGTTTGTTTATTTTTTCCCCCCTGCAATTTGACTGTTATTGAGATGGTTATGCACTATTTGGGTATATATATAACCATTTAATGCATTGATTTGTGTATAAGTATTAGAAGTATCATAGCTTAAGTTATTGACTTCTCAGCTGGTTCCTTGTGATTTATCTGATGACTTGCTTTGGACTTGATTTTTGAACATTCAGTTGTTACCTTGGTAATTTTATATTATTTATCTGGATTGCAGCTCAAGTTACCCTTAATGGCCACTTAATAATGCGTCTCATTTCTGAGAATCCATGCAATGCATAGGACCCTTGCTAGTTGTTGTTGTTATTGTTATTTGTTTAATTGCAGGTTTCTGTCAACATAATTGAAGATTACATTATTTTGGGTGGAAATGAATTTCTGAGTGTCCATGCTTCAAGCATTGCTAAAATTCTTGATCTAGTTGTTGGGAATGTTAACGACAGAGGTCTACTTGCAGTCTTTCCTGTAATTGACCTTTTAATACAGGTAAATTTTTTTTAAAACCTTACAGATGTTAGCAATATCATAAACAACTGGGTTTTTTTTTAAAAAAAAATTATTTGTATATTTGGAATTCGGAGATATTTCCTCCTTATTGGTTGCCTGTATGACAATGATGACTGCCTACTTAATCTTTTGCTAAATGTGGAAAAAAGTCTCAAAACTTAATGGAACTTAATATAACATCTTATCGATGCACATGTTGTAAACACTGGAACCATAGAATATGGAACATTTGCCATGTCTGCTGTCCTGTGTAACGATCAGATATGTTTGTTTTGATTGACACTTGCTTGAACCCGAAAATGGAAAATTGAACATAAACTGTAAAGCAGCCAAAACAAGAAACAAATTACCGTTTTTGCTAATCCAGTGCTTGGTTAGAGTACAAAAGGAAAGAAAAGATTGGGGAACCCATGGTTAACCAAAGTGGATAGACTGTGAATCTTCCTGCTAGTTTGGCCTTTTGGATCTTTCAGTTTAATTGCAGCATCTATTCTTCTTTTCCTAGTGGTCCAACTTCTGCAATTCAAACGTTTCAGTTACTCAGGACTGATAACATCTTACACTTCCAAGCGAGATGCTAAAAGACTTGGAGCCTCCTTGTTTTTTGTCATGGAAACAATTTTTTAAACTTATCTGGTTGTTTAAATTAAATGTTTTGCAAAACCCAAAAAAATAGAAATCTGTTTTAAAAAAAAAAAAAAAAACTCAAAACAACTTTTACTTGTTTCATTGTTTTCTATTTTTTTGTCCTGTTTTGTTATTTTTTCTAATTCTCCTTTTCACTCACGGCTACACTCTCCACTTTGTCTCTCATGCTAGTCTACATCATTTCTTAGTCCTCCGACTCTCGCTTTGTCATTGTTGCACTCTCCATTCTGTCTCACGTTCTATCAGTTCTCCGAGTTGATTTTAGGAACAATTGTTCCAAACAAGTTTTTATTATTATTTTTTTTCATGTGCAATTTTTTAGAACAATTATCCAAACATGCTCCCCCCCCCCCCAAAAAAACTTGTTTTGAAAAACAATTTTATAAAACTATTCTAAAAACATAAAACAAAAACAAACAAGGCCTTAATCACTCCTTTTCTTTGGATTAGAATCGGGCTCTTTGGAGGATCTAACTTAAGTAATATGTTATCTGTAGTTTTGACTTAAAACTCATGCTGAATACTTGGTCATTAGTCTAACACAATGTGTGTTTTCAGAGTTAAAGATGATTTTTTCTTGTTCAAATTTTTATTTAGGTGGATTGTCCTTTAATAATATCCTTGGTCTTATAAGTTGGGTGATAGTTATTTAGCATATTTAACTGTGTCTTTATGTAGATTTGTAAGAATCCTAGAAAATGATATTTATTTTTGCTATTTACAGTGTTTCCCCATGGAAGTACCGGCACTTATTAGTAGCACTTTACAAGTAAGTATAGTTCCATGCCCAACTTTAAGCTATTTTAAAATGTCATACACTGAGCCTGTGCTCAGTAGTGGTTTCGTATTTGTTGTTGGGATACTCTACTTAATATTTTGTATCTCTTTGTTTCTAGAAACTAATCATCATATGTTTGAGTGGAGGAGATGATCGTGATCCTTCTAAAGCATCTGTCAAAGCATCTTCAGCTGCCATCCTGGCAAGGATTTTGATAATGAATACAAGTTCGCTTGCCCAGTTAACATCAGATCCATCAACCTTATTGCTCCTCCAGACAGCCGGTGTCCCAGTCCAGGAAAATCTACTTCTTTTCCTTGTTGACGTATGGCTTGACAAGGTTGGTAAAGTCTGGATCTCATGGATATGCTTGTCACGTTTGTTGTTTGCGATTATTTTGTCAAGGTATGTCTAGTCTGTGCTTGACTCAAAATTGCATTTAGTACACTGCAGCTGTAAAATGGTCTGTATTTACAGGTGACTTTTGATATGTGCCGGTTTCTTTAAGTGATACTTAATGTTGGAAACTTGTTCTAAAAGCATCACTTTTTAATTCTATAATCAGCTCATGGCATATTTAGGTTTACTTTGCCTCGATTTTATTACTTGCCCATTTTGACATCATCTTATGAACCACCATGAAAAGGCTTAGCAATATAATTGCTCTTGACTGGAGGATGTTCTAGATAAAACGCTCTTGTTCATATGTATTAAGGCTGCTGTATGTTTTGGTCAAACCAACACCTGGCTGCATTTTTTTATTGGTCTCTAACTACTCAGATAATCTGATTGGCATCATCTGTTTCATCCTTTATTTACTTATTTATTTTGTTACATCCGGAGGATTTGAATCATGACTGTTATTTCCATCCCATCCCATTTTTGCCGTTTGAATTGAATCTTGTGGTGTTGCGTGCTTTATTTAAAGTCTCGATTACATACGTTATTTGCAGGTAGATAATGTTTCATCCATTCAGAGGAAGACATTTGGCTTAGCCCTTTCCATAATTCTGACATTGAGAGTACCTCAAGTCCTTGACAAACTTGATCAAATTTTGAGGTATTCCATTCTTTTCTTATGGTATCATGTTTAGGGACATCATTAGGCTTTGGCCAAGATTCGTCAGGCAATCTTAGGGCTGTAATCCTCCAAATGGGCTGACGAGTTGAGGATTTTATCCCATGACCTTTGGGTGTATGAGATGGACCCATGTGTGAGAATATGGGAGCAATTGCTCCCACAAAGTACAAAAACTACATATAATTCCCCTATACTTTTTATTTGTCACCTCAAATTTCAATCGCCCTCTCAAAATCTTTGATGAAAACGGCTGAATAAAATAATTCTCAGTCCGATAAAAATGTATTGATGGTTGTCTAGTGTTTATGTAGACATAATTGAGGCGGCATGCCTGCCTCCTAGCTAAGATAATAATCTAGGTCAAATCTATCCGAATCCCTAAAAGGTTCAAATAAAATAAATTAAAACAAATCTGGCTTGATAAAGATAACTTATGAGATAAAATATAAAATACTAGATAAAATACTAATAAGTAAATAATAAATAAGTAATAAACTACAACCTAAGGAAAGACATGCCGTTCAACACTTGCCCTCAAGCTGAGCTAGGTGAACATGCTCAGCTTGCTAATGAGTTTCTCAAACTCTTCACTTGGAAGTCCTTTTGTAAGCAAATCTGCCGCTTGTGCTATAGTGGATACATACAGCACCTCTACCATCTTGGTTTCTAGTTTATCCTTGATGAAATGGCAATCAATCTCAACATGCTTATCATGGTGGACAGGGTTTTCCACTCTTTTGAGCGGGGCCTGCTTGTCACAGAAGAGCTTAATTAGTCCCTTTATAAAGGGTTTTGAGACTCGCAACTAGTTTTTCACTTCGCCAAGTTACTAAATTTCCCCGATCCAAAGGTGAGGTAACCAGTGACCGTCTATCATCTGCTTCACACCAGTCAGTGTTTGTATACACCAGCACTCCTCTTTCGGATCCGTTTTTGAAGCCAATACCCTTACCCGATGTGGCTTTCAGATACTTTAGAATTCAGTAAATTGTGATTCATGCATGAACTGACATGTAACACCACGTGAGAAGGCTATGTCTGGCCTGGTGTGAGCGAGATAGATTAACTTGCCAAGTGGGCTTTGATATCTTTCTTCATCAGCCAGGGTTGCAGGCTTCGTTTACTTCTTATTCTTCAGTTTTCACCACATCTTATAGTTGGTTTCCATGGGTGTCTTCGCTGGTCTGCTCCCTAACATCCCTGTTTCTCCTAATAGGTCTAGAGTATGCTTTCTTTGTGAAACAGAAATATGTCCTTCTGTCCTTGCTACCTTCATACCAAGGAGATATTTCAAATTTCCCAGGTCTTTTATTTCAAACTCCAAGGCAAGAAGTTGGATAAATAAATTTTATTTAATAAAAAATCAAAAGAGCATGATTCTAATGGCTAATATTTATTGCATTGTTATCAATTGAAATTTTATTTGTATTATATCATGTTATTATAATTTTATGTTTTACATATTTTTTCTTTAGTACTCCTCCAGTCCTAAATAGAAGACCCTTATACATACACGTGTATAAGGGTCTTATATTTAGGACCAGAGGATTATTTAATTTTAATAAATTTTACGGTTAATATAATTTTTAAAAAAATATCAATATTTATCTAAGTATAAATCTTGCCTCCACTAACTAATTTTTCTGGGTCTTCCAATTACTAAGTCACCTTTCAATATCCTATATCTCTTGCAAGTATAAGATGACGCATCTATATGTTGTCGCATGCAGTGTTTGCACTAGTGTAATTTTGGGCGGAAACGATGACTTGACTGATGAAGAGTCGAGGTTAGATCTTTGCAATTCAACTCTAATCTTTTATTTACATTTTATCTCTTGTTAGATTGTCGATTCATGCTTTGCAAAGAATCTAAGGTCAGATATACTTTTTATGAGTTTGAATAGTGTATTTTTCTCAATGAATTTTATGTTTTATATTCATGTTTGGGACTTGGAGGCTGGCTTGACGTGATGTATGCTCTATCCAGTCTTGGTTGAATTTATCTTAATCCTTTTTTGACCTAAAGTCTGAGTGTTACTTGCCTCTTTAGAAACTAGTTCAAGGGAAATGGTTGCAGGGTACTGAGTGTGGAATTAATGAATTATAGATGAATAGATAGATCACCTAATCAAATCATAGTTATTTATTCTGTCATTTGTTGACAGTGGTGACATGAGCTCTAATGCGTCTCCTCATGAAGGCAGTATACCGGGTAAAGAAATCAGAAAGAGACAGGTACGAGATTTATGAGAACCATTTAAAAATCCCCATTTGGAGTGAATAAATAATTATGTGTGCATTTTGGGAATTTCTAGATCAAAATGTCAGACCCTGTAAATCACATTTCATTGGAGACCTCTGTTAGAGAAAATCTGCAAACATGTGCCTCTATTCATGGAGAGTCATTTAATGCTGCGATGAGTAGCATACATCCATCCGCCTTTGCACAGTTGAAGCAGGCATTAAAGATGTCATAGCTGGGAGCGACACAGAGTTGTTGTTGTTCAGCAGTCGCATGTTGAGGCTCTCAATCTCTGCTAGCTCATTAGATTGATACTGTTACAGGTACGCCTTGCTACAACACCAGGGTTTCTATTTCTTTCTGTTTTCTTTCCTTTACCCTGTTTCAGTCTGGGGCAGATGAGAAGCATGCAGGCGCGGGCCTTACTCTCTTTGAAACAAATAAAAGTTGAAGAACATAAATGGTGATATTGATAAATTTCATTTTACAACTCTGACCCGATCTAGCAATGATATGACAAGTTCCAAGCGATGGGGGAGCTGTAACAAGACCCTAATTCTATGAGGCCTAAAGTTCAATTACTGTGATTACCATGTTTGCAATAAGTTTTTTTTTCAGATATATTGCAGTTAGCTCGCAACTAGCAGTGTAACACATCAATATGGCTTATTTCAGGGTGATATGGAAGCTTTTTGATACTTGGCTTTGGTGACTTTCAGGCTGTTGTGCTCAGAGCGGCTTGCAAGTCTTTTTTCCCATGATAATATTTCATATTCATTTGTTTGTGCCAGTTGGCTGCGTGACATTGTGTAAATAGCATGCTGTTCCTTTAGCAAAAGGGAGCAGCTTTGAGTCGGGTAATTTTTCCCCCACGGTTAAAATAGGGAAAGGTGAAATGGCCAGTCTCGTGTTTTGAACATATGCCAATGAGTGATGGGTTTGATGAGAATGTAGTGCAAGTTCCATTCTTTCTGGCTGCATACAATGAGGTTTGTCTTTTCCCCCCCTTCCTGGTCTCATTTAGTTTTAAATTATTAAGAAATAGAAAATTTCCCCAGTAATGATCGGGATGTTCCGACCCAAAAAAGGAAAGAAAAATCAAACCGACGGGCTTCACATCACTCAATCTAAAGTAAATATTGAGACAAGAAATGCTACAAAAAGATGAAACACAAGACAAGGTACGGACAAGTCAAGTCTCTGGTTTTTGGTTGGTCAAAACTTGTGTTTGGATAGATTTTCCTCCACAAATTTTGGCCAATGAACTTGGGCAAACTGAGATTAGACGTTGTCCAAAAAATGAGACTTGAAATTAGAGGTTGTTCGAGTTGTTCAGATTGTTCGAGACCATTTCAACCCTATATTTTGACTCGGGGGTATTTTGGTTTCAAAAGTCACTTGAAATACGCAATACCGAAAAAGTTTTGTTTTCGAATCAGTCTACTGGTTCTAACATGATTTGAAAAATAAGTTGTATTATGTTACTCCTTCTATACTTAATGTATGACGTAATTGTTAAGTTTATTTGGATTCTAATTTATTAATTTTTTAAAATTATTTTTATTGATGCTCCTTAAGTAGGAGAGGGAGGAAAGATATTAAGAAAGATAATTTTGGTGTTTTAGGAAAAACATATAATATTTCACATAATTTAGTAACTTATTGAATTATTTTAATCTAATCAAATTAGTTAAATAACTCTTACATTAAAACAGAAAAAATATTTATATTTGAATAATTTTTTTAATAAAAATGTCAGTTTGACATAAATTTATATAAATAAGATATTAAATTTAGAAAATTCAAATTATAAAATCAAATTAAAATCGGAAAAAGCTACTTTAACTTCGTCTTCACTTTCGGCTTACGAGTTTTTTCCCCACTTTCCCAAGGACCATTTCAAACACATCTTGATTCAAACTGACATTTTGGTGTCTAAGATCAACTGAAAAACGTAATCCCAAAAATGTTACGTCTAATCATGATTTTTCCTGTCCTCAATGTATTCCTCAAATGAGCACAAATATTGAAAATATTTATCACGAGGCAATTTTAACATAAATCATGTAAATTATGATTGAGTTTTCTACATTCTTTAAATTGGTAAGGGTGAAAATTAGAATTTTTCAAAAAAAATTTATAACTTTAATCATTTAACAATTTTTAGATGCTTTAAAATGTTAAGAAAAGAAATAAATCAATGCTACAGTGTCCTTAATTTTTAGGAAATTAATCTTTAATCACATGGCCTTTGGTATGAGCACTTGTGTGTGTGTGTGTATATATATATATATATCATACACTCAATAATTTTTTAAAGAAATATTTATAATTTTTTTGGTGGTCATTTTGTTCGTTCAACTACCTTAATCATCATCTTCCACGAGTAGAACAACTTCAAATAGCATGAATTTCTTGCAAGCGACAGAATGAGAGGGTTATATCAAATGAAATAAGTAAGCATTAGAGGATTTGCCGCAGCTCTCCCCCACCCAAAACTACACTATTTTGGGGGGAAAATGGGGGCGAGGCTTGAGAGCACTAGCCTAACGCCCTCGCCTCTGGGACTGCATCAACCACACCCCTAACAAAAATGAAATCGTTTAGGTTTGATTAAAAACCTTGTCCCATGCCTTGATCCATAGGTAGGGTCCCATTAATTCATACATTGGTTCTAACTTCTAACACAAATTTCGATTTTGCGCAGTCAAGTTGTTGCATTGGCTGAAAGTCACAAGCGTCTAACGTCCTAAAATAAATTTTTACTGCATTTAGCGTCATAGAATATTTTCCCAACTAGAATTTTTTTTTTTTGCCACAACTTTTCTGATAAAATTATTAGGGAGAATTTCACTGAAGGACCGCAGAACACAATTAATGTCAAAAAGCCTCCAAAACTTTTTGAAACCTCACTGCAGGACCAAGGGACCAAATTGAAATTAAAATTTAGAGTGAGATTACAATAATACCCCTCTCTTTTTATTTTATTAAAAAATAAATATTTACTGGAGTTACTGTTCTGGCCACCATCGCTAAGGTGGTTGCCTCCGGGAGTTCGGCCACCAGTGGCCAGAACAGTAACCCCGGCTGGCTTCTGGTGGCCAGAATTTTATAAGTGAAATTCGACAATTTACAACAAAAATTAGGCAATCTACAAATAACATAATAGAAGTCATAATCCCAAATGCAAGTGTTTAAATTCAAATGAGCAAGTGAAATTTGAAGATTTATAACAAAAGTTTATAGATTTGCAAGTGAAATTCGACAATTTACAACAAAAATTAAGAAATTTACAAATAATATAATGGAACTCACAATCCTAAATACAAGTGTTTAATTGTAAATGAGCAAATGAAATTTGAAGATTTACAAGAAAATTTTATAGATTTGCAAAAGAATTTCACTTGCTCATTTGCACTTAAACACTTGCATTTAAGGTTATGACTTCGATTATGCTATTTGTAAATTGCTTAATTTTTGTTGTAAATTGCTGAATTCCACTTGTAAATCGTCGAATTTCACTTGTTCACTTACACTCAAACACTTACATTTTGGGTTGTGAATTCTCTTGTGTTTGCCAAATTTGGATTGTGAATCCATAAAATTTTATTGTAAATCTTCAAATTTCACTTGCTCATTTGCACTTAAACACTTGCATTTGGGATTATGATTTCTATTATGTTATATGTAGATTGCCTAATTTTTGTTGTAAATTGCTGAATTTCACATGTAAATCGTCTAATTTCACTTGTTCACTTACACTCAAACAGTTGCGTTTGTTTTGTTATATGTATTTTTATTTGCATATTATATTTAAATGGGTTGCTTGACTTGGTGGTTACAAACATTTTGGTGTGCTAAGGGGTCATGGGTTCAAACCCTCCCTTAGTCACCTTGTTTTAAACAAAAAAATTCCAGCCATGGAGGTCGGTCAGAGCTACTGTGGCGGCCACCTGAGCGCCGGTGGCCTCTGGTGGCCGGAACAGTAACTCGGGTAAATATTTATTTTTTAATAAAATAAAAAGAAAGGGGTATTATTGTAATCTCACTCTAAATTTTAATTTCAATTTGGTCCCTTAGTCTTACAGTGAGGTTTCAGAAAGTTTTAGAAGCTCTTGGACATTAATTGTGTTCTGCAGTCCTTCAGTGAAATTCTCCCGAATTGTTATATAAGACCTAGTTCTTGAATTATTCTTGTTCGGATAGAAACAAAATCATGATTTTAAAAATAAATTTACAGTATACGAAATAAATATATAAAGTAAACATTTAAAAAAATTTGTCCTAATTTACAAAAAAATACTTTTAAAAAACACTTTTACAGTTTCCCAAACACCCCCTTATTATCATTATTTAGGGGAAGGAATGGAAGATGTTTTAAAAAACACAATTATAATATTTTAAAAAACATATGTCATAAGTTTTATAATCAAGTATTTCTCCTAACTATTTTTAATCTAACCAAATTACTTACATAAGTTTCATATTTAGAACTTACGGAATACAATTTTACTCTTTACTTCTTTGCTTTTTAAGGAGCAACAGAATGCTGCTGAAAATTTTTTTTAAAGTGTTACATGTACCAAAAGTCACTTTGCTAAAAATATTTTAGGGTGCCAACCACTAAAATATATTTCAGGCCGCGGGCTACATATTAGGTGCATCGATTCCTCTCTTTTTTATGAACATTTTTAAGGTTATCTTCAAGAAGAGAAACAGCTTAATCAGAAAATAAAGTCTTATAATAACAAGGACTATGACTACTTCAATGTTCTAAACAAGTGAAGAATATGCAAGTAACCGAAGATTGCTAAGTGTAGGCGCAGATTGTTTTAAAACTCAGATAATCACAAAGTATCCAGATTCATAAAATTGTTTGGCACTTCATGGTTTTCTGAGATTGTTTGAGTGTAGACTACAGGTTGATTTAGAACAATCCCCCACGCATTAAATCTTATAAACCACACGACAGTAAAATTCGTAACTCGCTAACAATATTTTCCCCAAAATAGAGTCATTATATTCAAGCCGCATGATTCAATTTAGGCCAAGATTGTTACGACTAGCACCCCAAAAAAAAATTGTTACGATGGAGAAATCACGAAGCTCAGAATTTGGTCTTAGCCAAGAGGAGGACTCCTACCTATCCTACAAGGCCAAGTGTCAGCAAAGAATTTATGGCTCTTGCACCCTCACGCTTCATCTCATTCACTTCCAACTGAGAGAAACCAAATTGAGCAGCGACAGACTAGTGTTGAGCATTCAATTAAGTTATACAGACTGCTCCCACTGATTAATACAAGACTACTTGCCCAACAGTACTTCAGACCACGAAATAAAAATCATTTTCATCCATGAAAAAAATAGTAGAAAAACATTTGGGAGGCCTCAGATTAGCATTTTGGCACATTCGTCATCGCAACGACAACCCATGCATGGAAACATGGAGCGCAGATTGTTGCCGCAGCTCATGCCACAGTATTGTCATCATCAGCCAAAATTGTTAAAAAGTCCCAACTAGAAGACACATTTGATATGCACCACCTTTATTAACAAGGGTATATTAATTGTATAGTTATACTAGCATAAAAATCAAGCTAAAAAAGACAGCATAAAAATCACGCCGACCTACAAATAGCCAACTGTAAATCATTGTAAACTAACGATCAAATTTGTACATGTATCAGCCAAAGTAATGAAAGTGATGCCAAATAGAAAAAGCATGAGTTAGAATTAGATTATCGCTTATACAAAACCAGTTGGATTATTTAACACAAACTAATTTCCTAGCACTTTTTTTTTTTAAAAAAAATTGAAATTGAAATATTTCTAAAGCAGCAATCAAACAAGCACTTAGGGTCACAAGCAACTAGATTTTTATCCTCTTCCAGCACAAAGCATAAAGGGCAACGAGAATGCGCATCTGGAAATTTCAATCAAGAATCCATCTGACTACTATATCGAAATCATATCTGAACAGGTATA